TGGTGTGGCGGATTTAGGGACTGCCTTCTGGTCCTTTGAGCGGTTGCACTGTCTCGTCGTGCCATGGTTGCTCTAGATGAGGGAGAAAGGAATAGATAGCTTTCATGTAGTTGCAGGCGAAGTACCGACACGGTCGGACCTGAAGCGCTAGGCTAGGTGACATGTGACATCACACGAAAAGAGGATGGTTGGGCAGCATCGCTTCTGGTAAACTCAAATGTCACAGATGGCGCGTCGATTGCGTAGGCAGCCATTGGGGCCAAATACCGGGCTCGATTTGGAAGGAAGGTTAGTCGAGTAACGAGCAGAGACCGGCTGTTGAGCGTGATATATTGCTCGAAGATTTTGAGGTTGGGGTAGAGCACGGCTTAGTGAAGCTATCACATTGGTCCAACTGGCAGCAAAGGTAGCTAGAATGAGTCCTGTGGCGTGCTGGCGCCGTGCATGTTGCATGTCTCATGCCTTGACTGCGGCAGGAAGAAGAATGGATTGGCGTTTCTGGCTGGTGGGGTTACTAATCAGGTGGATTATGGTCATACCGACTGGTTGAATAGGGTAGATTCATGAATTGGACAACGTTTATACTTCCCGCCGACTGGACGAATAGGTCAGTGTAACGCCAGGAAAGCGGTAGAATCTTTTCACCCTAATGGTCCTCTCCGTCCCTATGTTGGAGGATACGGTATCATTTCCTCTTTGGACCGAATCGTCCTATCAAAGACGTTGTCAAGCTATGATTCCTTCATATTAGCTCTTCGACGCCTCTTTCGGACACGCCTACCTGTAAGGGCTCGCTCCGTGTTTTGCTCCCCAACGCTAGGACAGGGCACAGGACGTTGCTGATTCATATTTGACTGCCTTTTAAACTCTCGAAGCGTCCAATCGAATATATTATTATGCTCGAAACCTTTGCGGCGAAAGAGGCGACCGAATAAGCTCTGGCCTATCCTGCTCGTCCAATCCACGAATGTAGTCGCGGGCGGACCCTGGTATAGTTCGGCCACCTTGATAGTCTGCTTCCGCTCGAAAGCCAGCCTATATTTTTCCTGCCGACTGGGGGCCTTCAGACCTTGCCCTCCCGTTTAGAGATCGCCTGGCCCTCTTTGATTAATAAATCTCTCCTAATCACAGCCGATTGTAGTTCCCCGAGATTAAAGTCGTGATAGTAGAGTCCTACTGCCAACTGGAGAAGAAGACTTGGACACACCAGCCGCCGTTCTTGGTCATGATATTTTGCGAGCCGCATGATGTCGGTCCAAATTGCTCTCAAGATTTGTCTCGTTAGATTTAAACATCAAACGTAAACGGTCCGTATCGACGAGGGATCATAGTAAATGGTCTGTGATGGGAAGCCGGCCAGTGATCATTTAGTGAAAAGGATATGGATCGCGTGAGGGGATCGACGGAAGGACATTGAGGTTTCGGCGTCAAATCATCTTCAAAGTCTTGATGGACGTTAGTTAATCTAGTACCGAACAAACTTAAATAGCTTACTTTGGGTTAGAGGAGAGACACCTAATCCAGCAGCAAGGAGACGCCTTTTTGTGACGGGGTTTGGCTCATTGTCTTCGAAGGCTCCGGGGACCTCTTGCGCTTCTTAGATAGCCGCTCTCTTTGAATGCCTGCGTTCGCAACACGCGACTGGTAGTTCTCCAAGACCTTTAAAGGCTCTCTGGCCAAAGTAGTATTGAAGTTGTGACTAAGTAATTCGGAAACTCTGCATCGAGTAAAATCTTCACAGTGATTAGGTGTCACGGCAGCTTCGCTTTTTTTAAACCTGAAAGGCCCACGTGGCAGTGAGCTAGTACGAACCATATGTCTGCGCACCTGGGGAAATCATTTAGGAACCTTGGCAAATAGTCATTGTGGACTAGTCCACGTACGAACAGTAGCATGACAAATAAAACCACGTGATTTTCATGTGAATATCGGTTCAGCTAATATGTCCTCGGAGTTGGGCCTTCCCGATCGCTCCGCTAGATGCTTGGGTCGCTCAGTGTACGCTTCAGAACTTGCTAAGTCGTCCTTAGAAGTGCACTAGCACCCACTCTGCCTCTTCGGTTCTACGTCACGTTCTAAATTATCTTACGCTGCTCAACACTAAGCTGTGAGACCTGAATACTTGGTCGTAAGAAAATGCAGAATTTACACTCAACCTAGGCTCAATAATGGCCTAACTACGTTGGCTCGACACCCCTCTCTTCTTCTGGAAGGTCCTTGACTTATATTGTGTAAATTCTTGATCTCTTGGAGGCGTCCCGACATTGTAAAAGCAATCTGTAGATTCCCGGTCTAATTGTATATATCGTGGTCCTATATCCCCAAACGTAAATATGTCTTTAGCGATCATGCGAGTGTTCAGCGGGTATTGAATCGAAATTTAAGCGAAATTCTCAGTATGAGTACCGTCCTCGAGAGCGTGGTCAGTCGTAGTTAGATTAACTTAGAATGACAGCGATGTCGTATCTCAGTTCGCGGTTTAACGACTTGAGTAGCTTCGATGCGTTTTCGACTTGTTGTGAACATCTCTATAAATAAGCCTGAAAATAGTCTCTTGTCGATGTCGACTTCTGTATTTCTTGTCGAAGTTGTTCGATCTCTCGATCCTTTCGATCTGCTTCCTCTTGAGCGTGTGTGGCCTGGTCGTGCAATAATAGCACCTCTTTGGAGAGCTTTTGGTTGTTAATTTGTAATTGCTCACTGGTGAGAAGTGGTCCGAGCTCTGGTTCTGACGACCGTGGGCGCTACGGAGACATAGTTAGCCTCTGGCTTAGAAAATAATAAACGGTGCTTTGCCGGACTTCATCATCGCTCGTTGCCCCTTCGTTAAGCCCTCTGGATTCATCTTGTGCTACTGCTATGATCGACTTTTTTACTTCGATCTCCCGACATAGAATCTTATAGGCCCCAATTGACTGATCGCTCATATTTTTAGTAAATAGTTTTTGAAGACGTGGAGAATAATTCCAACGGTATGGATCGTTGATCGTTAGAACTAGGCGAACTTATGACGGCTCTATATGCAATCCTAGCTTTTGTTCTGTAATTATTAGAAGCTTTTTAGATCATAACTGGTATTTGATCTCACCGAGATGGCTTAATAATATACAACGGCATTTGCTTCTCCATCTTGCGCGGTCTTCATTATTCCGATGAGCGGGCATCCCCGGAAAGACGACAGCGGTTCGAGTCAATTCTTAGTCTCGTTGAGAATATTATACTCCGACACTGTGCAGTATAGTAAACTAGCTATATTATATTGCAATCAACAATATGGGGGGAATAAAAGTAGAAGTAAGGGGGATTAGAATAGGATCTTAGTTATCTCTTCTCTATATAGGAGCCCGAATCGGAGCCTGAAAGATTAAAGGGGACCCGAAAAGGCTGCTCGACGTTTATCTTAATGTCCACATCTTCTTGCTGTATTGGCCCTCGCAATCTGGCCATGTCCCGGATTTATGCACACAGTGAAATCAAGAGATTGAGCGCTATTCTGTGGGCAGCGCGGCAGCGTTTGAATTCGCGTCCTGTCTGAAGCAGAGGACAGCGGATGAGAAATCTTTACTGGGAGAGAATAATCAACCTCTCGCTGATTATGAGGCCGTTTTGTCCAAATCTAGGTCACCATCGCCCCAGCAACTGGTCGCAGCCAGGATGGAGCGAGTCGTTGGAAGGACATATCAAGTGGACGGAGACGAGGCATCAGACGGGTCCGAACATGGTTTTCGGAACTACCAAAAGTGCGGATCCAGTACCACGAGAAAGTCAAAGAAAGTCAAAGGAACCTCATCGATGACGAGTAAAATATCGTGCCTAAGTATTTTAGAACTCTTAGAGTCTGCAGTCTATTCAGACCCTATGCTGGTGAGATTGAAGACGGTATTTGTCTTCATTGGTTTGGTGGGGGAGTTGCGAGTCACCGAACTCCGCAGTGCCTAAGGCGTCTCAGCGCCTAGACTAACCGCCGCTCCCTCGCACCGTCAGACCCAAGGTTAGGCAGCAGCGTAAGGGCAGGCGATTTGCTAGGTCCCCTGGCGCCCGTCTGAAACAGATGCACAGTCGAGAGGCAGGTTTAGCCGATTACGGGGGGCCCTGATTAGGCACTCGGTGTGGTGCTTAGGGAGCGCTCACGGAGCGCTCAGTGATGCTCAGCTAAAGGCTTAGGTAAAGCTCAGGTTGAAGCGGCCTTCGCTCACCCACTAGGATCAAACCGTATATGGCAATTAGGTTTTTCGTTCTCGAGTAATAGAGGTATAGAATACTTAGACGCATAACGGTAGGGAGAGTAGGGGAGGATGATACTTAGTTACATTAGAGTCTGGACTTAACTCCGGGTGGAGAGAACGAAACTGGAAGCGGCGCCGCCTCCGGCTCTCCGCTCCCCCTTTGGCCCCCCTCCCTTTAATTTGTTTCCCCCAGGTAGAGATTTAGGCTTGGCCACGAATGCGGGGAGATGTGCCTGCGCTCTCTGTTTCCCGTCAATCACGACTCACCTACTCCATTATCCACACGTGTGCCCATGTCGACTGACGATGTCCTACGAACATGTGAGAATTGTCATGCAAGGAAAGTCCGCTGCAGTAAGCCTCCGCCAGGCCCTGACAACCTCAGCGCATGTCTGTGCTAGAGGACCGTGGGTTGACTGAGTTGAAGGACGGTCGCCGGGCGATGCAGCATGCTTAAATTGCCAGGTAACTCGTCCCCGTCACATTGCGGTGACTTCTCTCTCTGACTTTGGTTGGGCTTGTGCAGAATAGACGCGAGAGCTGTCACTTTTCCCGCGATAAGAGGCGACAACGACACCGGCGAAATGGTACGGACCCAAACAGACGTAACAGCCAGGGAGAAGACACTAAGGCGAAGACATAACTGCAGGTGAAAGCCGGCGGTCGAGTTTATCACAGTTTCAAGAGGTCCATGTCTGGCACATCCGCCCGGCGGCGGAGCAGCAACCCACGGATCCTCCTGAGCCTCTGAACGCTGATGCAGGTGCCGAAACCATGCAATTCACTTCGCCAGAGCTGAACCATAACAACCTCTTTGTTGATCAATTGCTCAAGCATGATCGACACACGGTCGGTAAAAGGACTTGCCAGAAGAGACTTTTTGAGGTGAGCTTTGGCCACACCTTGAGCTTTTAAAGTGGGAGAACATGCTAAACGGTACCTTAGGCCGATGAAAACCATGGTAGTAAATGTCCCCTTTCAAGTTCGAACGTGACTGTCTGACAAACCCTGAAGTGACATGTTCGAGCTATTGTGTCTTTACCGAATCAAGGTTGCAGTCGTTGGCCCGAGTTCTTGGTCATGACAAGGTCGCGCAAATGATCGACGAGATGCGGTCGATGATTACAGAGCGCCTCGAAAATGCAACCAAGATTTTCTGGAGTCCAGGTTTGGCGGTACTGCGTAGAGACGCTGATCTGTCCCACCAATTGAGAGAAGAATATATCCAGGGTTGTCTCCGCCTCGTCCTTGGATCGCGACTTGCTGACATGTGTAGCATATTTCCGCTATGTACATCCGGTACATCCTTTTCTTGATCAGGCATCATTTCTTGAAGAAGTCTCCAAACCTCAATTCGATCAGCTTTTGCGCAACCACCCTGAGTGGTCCGCCCTGTACAATGCCGTTCTGGCGCTCGGCTGCCAATACCACGGCAGAGGGGCCTTTTTCCCCGGGAAAGGTCTTGCATGGCACTTTTTTATGAAGGCGCGGGAGTGTTTCCCGAAAACCTTGGGCCCAATGCCAACTCTGCTGCACGTGCAGGTCTGTTGACTTCCTTTCAGATGTGAGGTAATCGCTAACCGCGTAAAGACTGTTACTGCAATGGTAGGAATAAACCGATGACCTTAAAACAGAAAAAGGAGAGCTAACCACAATTTAGGCCATCTTCTCCCAGAATATGAGTTCCTTCCAATTCAAAGAGGACCTTCTTTCAGAAGCTGCTAGGTTATCGAGATGTCTCCAACTGCACAAGTCAGACCGGATCGATGAGTCCAGAACTTTCTGGGTGATCTACCAACTCGAGAAATCTTGGTGTTTCCAAAACTCGAGGACCTCTGTATGTCATAACTGCCTTTTGCATGCAACTGGAGCTCACTGCCTCGCTAGCTTATTGCGGATTTTGATATTGATTGTCTCGTGCCAACAACGCCGGATTCTATACGCAGCGAGCATGACTGGTTTTTAAGTAGCGTACGACTGGCCAGGTTGTTATCGGTCTGTTACGAAGAACTATTTTCCGTCAAAGCAACGATGTATACTGTGGAACAGAAGCGAACCAAGATTCAGAGTGTCTATAAGACACTTCATACCTGGAAAGAAAGCATTCCTGCTGAATGCAGACCGGGCAACATTGTTGGCATCCCAGACGGGCAGGGTCCACAGTCCCGTGCCGTCTTGGTTCATCTCCACTTTTCTTACTACGACGTCGTCATCGCACTGGCAAGACTGGCAATCCATTGTGGAATCGATGGGGATTTGTCGGATTTCGGCACTGGCGAAGTCATGCTTAGGAGTGCTGCGAGAGCAATCTTGGAGCTTACAAGTTTGGTTGATCTCAAGGCGTATACTTCCCTTTGGTAAGCACTGCGCTCTGTCCATCCGAAGAAACACTAATCCAGGCAGGGCACTGACTACTATGCCTCTCGCTGCCATGTTAATTCTGTTTGACCTTGTTATCCAAGACCCTACTAGTCCGGACGCCAAAACGAATCTTCTCTTCCTAGAAATGGCATCTGGATACTTTAGCCGCCTCGAGCATGTGACCGACGCAGCGATGCAGACCTCTCGACTTTCCGAATTTACTTACATAGCGAGAGAGTATCATCGGAACGAGATGCTCAAACTCCAAACAGAACAAAGCGATCCATCTGCGTTCCCCGGGCAACAGACTGTTTCCTTACTCTTTGGGCAGTCGACCATAAGCAGGGCCGATCTCTTGGAGTCAAACACCAACGACACTCTGCCCTCGGGTCCTGGCACTGCTGAAACTAGATTACCACAAGGATTGCAAGCCCGTACTGCAGGGGATCCCGGCACAGTCGAAGACTCTATGCCTACTGCAGAATTTGGCGGTCCTATCTCTCACCTGCCAATGGGTACCGGCCAATTTAGTTTTGAAGACTTGTTCAATACAGTCATCTTGCCCTTTGAGAATCAACAGACATGGTGAAAGCGTTTAAAGCAGCACTTCAGATGGACAGAAAACGTGACTCGAAGTGGCAGTTTAACCTGCGCATTGAAACGTTTAGTGGCGACCTGGGCCATGTCTTGGGATATCCGAAGGAACAGGAAGTTTCCAGTTATGAAAGGATTAAGGGATAGAGTACGACATCCGATGCGAGCACACTGACAAGTCATATTAAGCATCTAGATGTTCAGTCCAAAAAGATTGACGAATGTGGACCTTTCGCGGACATAACGAACTCAAGGAGTGTGGTGATCAAGAATACTGATCAAGAAATCGGGACAGGCTTGTTGCCAGCACCAACGAGAGTAAAGCAATTGACCGAAGAAATATTCGTAAGGTAGTCCAGAAGGCTCACTTGACCGGCCTTTCCACTGTGGGACTAGGAGTTGAAGATAAAAGAAATGCACTCAGCCGTGATGCAATATTTTTTCAGAGCTTGCTGATGCCGCTCGGTGCTCATGGGACTACGTAGTATGTCATCTCGAGTCTGAGGAGGTATGTACCTGCATGGCAGTGACGAGGACGGAGTAGTTTTGGTCTCGTGTTGCATTGCAAGACTTGAAGGCGGACATGGCGAGATCATTAACTTCGCTCAGGCACCTTTTACTTCCCTGTATTACCACGGCGGAATCTTTGACGCACTAAGTGAAGATATCTTGGCGGGTCGGAGTCGACAAACCCCGACCCCAAAACGCACATTTCTTGATATTTTCCCCGCGCCGCCTCGTCGACGAGATTGAAAAAGAACGCAGCACCAACGAATCTCACACCACCGCCGTCGTCGAGACACCAAAACTCCCTCCCTTGTTCCAGAAAAGATACTCGGACTCTAGCACACATCAAGCACCATGGAGAACGAGAAGGGCGAAATTGTCGATCTGTAAGCGCCCCCATTCTCTTCACCCTTTTCCCATGCCGCCTCTCTCTTTCGCTCTCTCAACCGACCTTTTGAGAAGGCCGGAAAAGAAAAGAAAAGTCTCTGCGCAAAAAGACGATTACCAGCATTCCGTTGTCCATTTTCCCCAGTTTGGCTTCAATTTTTGGCTGACACACTTTGCTCCTCCAGCTACGTGCCCCGCAAATGCAGCGCGACCAACCGCATCATCAAGGCCAAAGACCACGCCAGCGTGCAGATCTCAGTGGGTAAGGTCGACGAGAACGGCCGGTACACGGGCGAGAACCAGGTGTATGCGCTCTGCGGGTTCGTGCGGTCCCGGGCCGAGAGCGACGACAGCCTGAACCGGTTGGCGCAGAAGGACGGGTTTTTGAAGAACGTCTGGAGCGCGCAGCCTACGCGATAAGATGAGCAAACAGAGAAGGAGGTGGGGGAGACCGGGCGATGATCGAGATGGGTGAGCGTGAGAGAGCTAGGTGGATGTCTGGTGAAGAACGCGGAGAGAGGATGAGTGGGGGAGTTGGCACAGGGCAAGACGCAATTGAGGTCTTGAGACCGTGCCACAGAGAGCACCATGATATACAGCACGTCCAGAAAACATACGATGTTCCTGTGCGATGATGAAGATGGATGTCGTTCGGCAGGGGAGGAAGAGCTTGCTTGGTCGCAAGAGACACTGCAATTGTAATTTCTGCATGCCAGAATGATAGAAACGCAAACCGGGGCAAATCGCATCATCAAAAAAACCCCTCCAAAAATGAATTAAAGAAATTCCACACATGCATTTCTCTTGTTTATCACAGGGACAGAGGAATTCATACTATGGTACCTGGGATAAAAAGAACGAAATGTACCACCCGTATCTGTGCTCTGACTCTCAATCTCGGAATAAATCACAGCTCTTCAGAAGGCGGCATTCTATAAACTTAATATTCGGCTGTTGTATGTATGATTGTTTTCTCTACTTCCCACAGTCATGGCAGATGAAGCCTGAGGAAGCCTTGATGTGCCGATAATAAGAAAACGACCGCTTGTAAACACAGGCAAGCCAAGGGAGAAAAGAAACGAGCCAGCCCCGAAGGGAAAGGACAGATGAAGCAAATTGGGTATCATTTCTAGCCTTCTCTTTTTTCGAATCTAGAAACTTTTTCGGGTGATGCTCCTTTTCAGTTGCACCACATCTTGAGCGCGTGGATTTCGTGTCTTCGTTCATGCTGATCTGTCCTTGTGCGGCGAATGTTCTAATCTTTGTGCAGTCGGACAGCAGGATTCTGTTCAATGAAATTGAGGTCGACTTTATGTCCCAGAAGTTCCCGAATATTGTTGACACCATACCTGTTCACAAGTCATTAGCATGTCTGCGTTCCAGAGTTATGAAAAACTTACTTGATCATAGTTGGTCGCTCCAAACTCAAGCCCCAGCCATATATCCGCATATCCTTTGGTAACCCCATTGGCTCCAACATTTCCGGCCGGAACATCCCACTGTTTCCTATTTCCACCCATTTCTTCAGTCCCTCGTGGTAGCTGAAGATTTCCATACTCGGCTCGGTGTAAGGGTTGTACGCCGGCTTGAACCTCAGATTTTTGATACCCATCTTGCCGAAGAAGACTTCCATGAAACCGATCAGTCCGCCCAGTGTGAGACCCCAGTCGGCAATGACCCCTTCCACTTGGTGGAATTCTGCAAGATGCGTTTGATCAACTGTTTCATTCCGGAAGACCCTGTCGATGGAGAAATACCGCGCTGGTCGAGGGTTCACTGCCAGCTTGTGGAGCATGTATGCAGAGATTGCCGTAGTGTGTGTTCGCATAACCAGTCGCAAAGACTCTTCTTCAGACCAGGGATATCTGTACCCTATCGAACCAAATTTCCCATTTTCATGCACAGCACGGACGTCTTCCCAGTATTTCTTGAAGTCCAAGGTCTTCTCTTTCGACTTCGTTCTCTTATGTGAAGGTGAGGGGAAAGGGGTGGGTTTCTCCCCGGGAGCCAGAGGTTCTGAATCTGCCCGCGGAGGATCGGCTCTGGGAGGATCTGAGATGTAAAAAGTGTCTTGGAGGTCGCGGGCGGGGTGTTGTTGAGGAACGAAAAGTGAATCAAAATTCCAGAAACCGGTCTCCACATATCGATTCGTTGGCATCTCCTCAAATCCCATCTCAAAGAAGATCTCTCTGAACTCCTGACGTACTTTGTTGAGAGGGTGAAGGGCTCCGGATGGCGTAGGTGCACCCTTTGCCTTGAAATTGTACGGTTTCAATTGCACCGTCTTCCATGCTCCTGATGCCAACATTTCCGCTGTCAGATCCGCTTCTTCCTTGACGAATTCTGGCGAGAATTTAGGGCCCTTTGAGATCTTAAAGGCCACCGTTTTCTGTTCCGTCACATATTTCCTCTTCTTGAAGTCTGCAACAACTTTGGCATTATTTAGGGCTTTCCGGGACTGGATCTCTCGCAGTTGTTCCTGTACCTCGTCCTGGATTTTGTCCGCTACTGCTCTGAGCGCGTCTCCGTCTTTCTTGATCCACTTGAGTTTGAAAGCATCTCCTGAGCCGAACTTGGCCACGTTTGCGTCGCCCACAGCCGCTGGTAAATCTTTGATCTTCAGTCCTTCGATTGCGGCTCGAACTGCCTCGAAAACTCTTGCGCCATTGCTTCCATGTTCAGCGATATCATGCCCTTCTTTTGTCAGAACAAGTTCTAAATGATCGACTTGCTCTGCTTCAATGAAATCTCTAGACCGCAATCTGTCGACAGCGGACTTCACACTGACAAAGGTGGCATTGGGGAAGATTTCAGATGTGACAACGGGGCCGTCTGTTGAGTTCAGGACCTTGAGCACCTGCGCGGTTAAATCCTCTGCCATGATTACATCCGCTGAGAGAAGGCCTGGGGGAAGGAAGGCAAAGGTAATAGAGAGGGGCAGTCGCAAGAAGAAATGTGGTCGTGCTCACTGCGAAAAATGACTCCAAATCTGCAACGATATGACTCCAAAACGCAGCCAGCACTTCTGGTCCTCATTGGGTTAAAACGACCTGCCGCTTTAGTTCTTCAGCCTCGTGTCTTCAAAGTCGCTGGACGGGTCGGCAGTGACGTCTCGGATATACATTAGAAATGACAAATTAATCTATTACTAGTATTGTAGACAGACCCAGTGGTCGATATGCTATGTCGGAGTACCCAAGAAGACCGAGAAAAATTGTGGCACTGCGGATATAACGCTCCATTGTCGTGGAACCCTCGCGTGCGAGCTCTATCCGTCATCAAAAACTGCTATGATCCGACTTAACCTCTAATATCATCTGCCTTGCAAATGCAAGAGTCAGTGATGTTCAGACACTCTGTTCTTCCATTTCGCTCGGTGAGTTCCGCTTGAGTTTCCGCTTCCAGTCATTCCAAAACATGATTTGTACCAGAACAAGACCTCCAAGGAAGAGCATGACACCTGTCAACAAGGTAAAAGCCCAACCAACATGGATACTGCTAATCAGAGGTCCGACAACAGCAGTTCCACCAGCTCCCAGCAAGCAACGGACAAGGTTGAGGGAAGCCATGGCGGAAGCACTCTGAGTATGGTGTATGTCGACAAGGCAGGTCGAAATCACGCTTTGAAGCGAAATAGCCGCCCAGCCGAGGACGAAAAAGCAGATGATTGGAACGGAAATATGAACGCCTTGGTCGACGGTCCACCCAAAACCCAGAACGGAGACACATTCGAGTGCGCTCCAAATCCACACGGTCCTCAGCCGAGCCTTGTCGATGGGTATGCGCTGTTCATCACCGCCACATTTGCGCAAAATCCGCCTGTAGTCATAGTCGAGGAATTTGCCGACCAGAATGGTTCCGATGATGGATCCTGCTCCATTGGCAAGGAAGATTAGGCCGACTTGAATTTCTGATGTGTGGTATTTATGTTGGACGACCGTGGATGCGGCCGTTAGAACCATTTGCCACGCTGTATAGTGGATCGCCACATAGAATATCGCACAAAAGGTGTTCCAATGGAATAGGATCTTTGCCGGGCCCATGAAGTCAATGTATTGCGTCGCTGGTTTCTCACCCTCTGTAGAAGGGGCAACGCTTTGT